ACTGCCGTGTTCCCGGGGGACAAAATCACCTGGCTGGGAACCACCGAGGCAGCCATGACCCTCAAAGGCTGCTGAAACCAGGAGGTGAAAGCTGATGAGGACGGAACCACGCCAGGCTCGAAAGCAGCACCGGCCTCACTAGCAAAACAGAAACCCAAGTAACATCCCCTCCCCCATTTTTGCCAAACAAGTTGCCGCTCCTCTCCTGACATCAGAAGTCACCCCCTGGCCCCGCTGTGTTTTTCTGCAGGACATGTGCTCTCCCGGCCAGGTCTTTGCATCTGCTGCTGCTTCTATGTACAGTGCTTCAGCCCTTCCCACCTCTGGCTATTCCTGCTTCCTCGTTCTATCAGGTCTCAGCTTCTGTAACTCTTCCTCCAGGAAGCCCTCTCTGACTCCCCCTTTGTACAATCCTTGCCCACTGGGCCCCTTAGGACAGAGGATTGTTCACTGTCTGATTCCTCAATAAGACTCGTGGGCACAGAGACCGCCAGGTTCATTGCTTTATCCCCAAGGAACCCGGTATGAAGTGACAGCACAGACCGCCCTCGCCCAGGAGGGCGTGTCCCGGAATGCCTTTTCCAAATCCTGAATATTGTCATTCGAGAAAACTTCCTGATCGGCTTAAGTCAGCGTTCACGCATATCAGTCCCTCACAGTGCGAAGAATCCCGAATAGCACAGGAACAGAAGCGGAGGGTGGGGAGGAGTGGCGAGAGGAGATTCTAGAACCCAATGGACCTCGTTTCAAATCCTGGCTTCCCTCGTCAGTACCTGTGTGGCTTGGAGCCTGTCTCCTTGCCTCTCTGATCCTCTGTCCTTGTGCACCACGGTTTGCCCAGCTCCCTGGGGGGGTGAGGGGGCTGCTCTGAGGTGTAAGGGTCACGGGCAGGACGTGGGGAGCCAGACAGATGAACCTGAGCCGGTGACCTCCTCCTCCGAGCCTCTGTTTCCTCCTTGGTGGGACAGGTAAGCATAGCTATGGCAGAGGATGCTGGTGAGCATTCTAGGAGAGAACTGGATGAGATGCCCACACAACGCCGGTGCTCAGCAGAAGACAAGGAGCTCTGAGGGCCGGGCCAGTGAGACGTAAGCCTATGACACTTCCAATCAGCCGGCGCCTCGGCCCAGCCCCAGAGGGTGACACACGCCTGCAGCTGCAGAGTGGTCAGCTGGGGAGGTGCCTCATTGCAGAAGCGGCTCCCTCCACTCGCTGAGGGGCTGGGCAGAAACTCTAGCAAGTGCTAATTAGGTCAGGAGCCACCCGAGGGAGGGGAGGAATGCCTGGCTAATTACCGGCCCGCTCTGCAGGGGGCCGCGCAACGGCCTACCTGCCTCGCCTCCTCGCCAGAGCCCAGAGCCTCCGCCAGGAAGCCAGGCGGTCCTGGGACGGGGCTGCCAGGGTGAGCCGGCCGCCATCTGGTCCCCAACTCCCCGCCTAATGTCTGTAACAGACCTGCTACCTAATTGCATGTTGGGGAGCAGCCTTCACATCTTTAACACCTAATTCACCATTGTTCCTTGGGAAGCCCAATCCCGCAGGCTGGCTGGCTGCTGAGGGAGGGTTCTGCCCGTTTATGGGACTTTCAAGCCCCGGGCATCCCAGGCCAGCCTTGTTAGGCTCCAGCTGGGCACGCAGCCCCAGGGCACCTCCCTGCACAAAGCCTGGCTTCCCCTGTGCGTCCCCACAGCTCACCTGCTTGGCAGGAATACCCGAGGCACCCCCTCTCCTCACTGTCATGTCCTCCCCACCCGCCCGAACCCAAATCTCTCCCTCATTCAGGGGCCGGTCTCCCCATTCTGGCCTGCGGGACCCCTTGAAAACTAGGGCAGGAGCCCGTCCTTCCTCATTTCTGGCGCTCATTCCCATGGCATCGCTGTGGCGTGGGGAGTGGAGGGGAGAGGGTGAGGGTCTGGAGAAAGGCACCTCAGCCCGCTCCTCGCTGCCCTCCACGTCTTTGAGTCAGAGAAGCAGACTTGGGAAGGATGCTAAGAGGGACCTGGCTGGTCCCTGAAGTGGCTCCCTGACCCTGAACATCCTGGAAGAGCCCTGACTGGCCTCCTTTTCCACTTCCCCTGCTGGTCAGATCGCTGTCATCACTAGTCATCGGTCATCTAACGGGCTCTGTCCCTAATGCACAGGGTGCCGAGAGCAAGTCACGGCTCTCCTCTGAGCCTTGTGGCTCCCTCCCTGAGGGATGAGGGGGAAGGGGGAGGGAGGGAGAAGGCTGAGTGGATGAAACACCACACACATCCCTTCCAGCTCTGGCTGGGCAGGAATAATCCCCAGGTATTTGCTCTGCTGTCTCTCTGGAGCAGCATCGGCCCATAAGGCGAGACAATTGGATCGGTGAGAAACACCGCACAGGAAAGATAGGACGCATCCGAGGTCACGCAGCTGGCAAAGGGGCCAAGCCCAAAACAGATTCAGGGGCCTTCGTCCCAGATCCCCACACCCTTAGGACACCGACACTGACATCCTGGCGGGAGAGGGGGGAGGGGGGTTTAGAGGGGGGAGGGGGATCATTAGGCCCCTGGGAACGGGACTCCCTGCCTCCTCCCTCTGGTGGCTTGGGAGACGATGGCCACCAGGCAGGTCCAGGGGACTGAGGGGGAAGAGGAAAGCCCTGGACAAGAGGCTGAGAGCTCCAAGCATCCGAGCTGAGGCTGAGCCACAGCGCTAGGGACAGGCAAACTGGGTCCACACCCTAGCTCCTCTGTTTCCTAGCTGTGTGGCCGCAGGCAGGAGACTCCACTGCTCTGAGCCTGCCTTAGAAGGCGGGCTTGAAATGCCCGCCCCAAAGGCTGGTGGGAGGATTCGGTAAGACGGTGCAGGCTCCAAACGTGGTGGGTTATGACCGAGGTTCCCTCCTCAGCTGGGCCGTGGAAACGCTCAGGGGCTCCTCCCTCAAGCACGTGTCCTAAGAAGACATCCTCTGTGGCTGGGGACTCAGCCAGCCCACCGTGCGCATCACCCACAGGCTGCTCATGGCTCCAGAAGTGGCCAGGAAGCTCGGTCCAAAGTGAACACAAGTTGGTCCCACGTCTTCCAAAGCCAGGAAGTGTCTCGAGGGGTGGAAATGGGAAATACCACGGGCCCCTGGCCCCTGGGGGACTGAGGGCAAGGTGTTGGGTATGGGAGGTGCCAGCCACCTGTGGACAGAGAATGGAGGCGGAGGAGGCCCCAGGATGCACAGGGAAGGGGGCAGGTGGGTGCTGGGTGAGAGCCCAGGTATGACCTCACACCAGGCAGCCCTAGGCTGGACGCTGCCCGCCCTTCTCCACCCCGCTACCAGAGTCATCCCTATAAGGGGTATCACATGTAGCATCGGATTCGCTCCAATAAAGAGCTCTGGGCATGCTCTGAGCCCCTCAAAAGCTCTGCCCCCACCCCCGTTCACTCTGCAGTAGCCCCACTGGCCCCTCCTTGTTCCATGGCAGACCACCAGGCCTTAGCACTCTCTGTTCCCTCTGCCTGGAACGCTCTTCCCCTCAGTGTTGGCATGGGCCCCCCTCCAGAGGCCTCGCCTGAACACCGATCTAAAATAGGAGCCCCATTATCCTCTACCCCCCATCCTATTTTATCTTTCCTATGATTTACTGCTACTTGACCTTGTATTTTACAACTCTTTGGTGTATTATTGCTCTTCCCCAAGAATATGTATGTCCGCAAGGGCAGGGACTCTGCTCAGGTCACTGCTGTACCTTCAACCCCTGGAAAAGCACGTGGCACAGAGTCAACTCAACACGTCCATTGGATGGATGGATGGATGGATGGATGGATGGATGGATGAATGAATGAACAAATGAACGAATGAACGAATGATTGATGGAATTCTGGATCCACCATTTTCCAACCTGAATTTCTTGGGCAGGTCATTTCACTCCACCAAAACTTCCAAACGGGGCAGACACCCATCTCCCGGGATCACTGTATAATGAGATTACAGAATGTGGATGGATGGAGATTAACAGAATGCTCCATCACCACCCAGGGCTCAGGCTCAGGCGCCTGCTCCGAGGCCCCGGCACCGCAGTGACCTCTGAGCCCATGTGTCACCTGCCAGATGTGGCGGTCGGGAGGCCCTGGGTCCCACACAGGGGTGCTTGGTGGGCACCCAGGCATGCGTGCGAGGCACCCAGCAGGGGCTGACACCCAGTAGGCACTAAGTGGCACCCACTAGCGTCCTGAAGAGTCTGGGACCGGGATACCGGCCCCATCACTTTCTTATTCTGCGAACTTGGGGAAGTGACCTAACATTTCTGAGTTCAGTGCCATCTCTGAAACAGGGATAACGATAGGCCCTTCCTCACGGGCTGGCCTGAGGTCACGATGAGACTGCGCCCCTGACACCCTAAGGCAGTGGTCGGCAAAGTCATGAGCCAGCAGAGCCAAATATCTACAGGACAACGATGGACATTTCTTTGGAGAGCCACATTTTTTAAACTCAAACTTCTCCTAACGCCACTTCTTCAACATAGACTCACCCGGGCCGTGGTATTTTGTGGAAGAGCCACACTCAAGGGGCCAAAGAGCCGCATGTGGCTCGCGAGCCGCGGTTTGCCGACCGCTGCCATAGATCAATGAATATAACAAGGAGGGGGGAGCTATTTTTCTTGCGTTCTTTGATCAACCCCAGTGCCTCGAATAGAGCCTTGGCACGTAGGAGACGCTGAGGAAATGGTGTGAGAGTCTATGTGTGCGACCGTACAGCTGAGTCAATCATCAAACTAAGGGCTCCTTAGAAGGTAATCTCCCTGGAGGCTAGGATGGCCACCTGCTATGTTTAAGGCTGCATCCTCCGTGCCGGGAACACAGCAGGTATTGGATGAATCAATGAGTGAGAGAGGGAGTGAATGGATTGAATGAATGAATGAATGAATGAGCAAGGCCCCAGCTCTCAGTGCAAAGACCACAGACCAAGAAGAATGAAACACCATAGGGCTGCCCTGACCCTCCCCCCACCCCACCCACCCGGCCACCACTCAATGCCTCGTGGATTTTTTAAATAATTTGTCGATTGTTTTTAATGGTTGAGGCAGTTAATACTTGGTTCATGAAACTGCAATATACAGAGAGGTGAAATAAATAGCTTATATATATATATAATATATATAATATAGCTGGTTTTAAAATATTCCCTTATCATTGGTGTGCTAGGTCACGTGAGTCACGGAAGGTCGATAGCAGCATCCTGCAGGCTGCGAGCGAGGCAGGGTCACCGTGATTGGACGGGGCCGTCTGTCGTCGGAGGTCGAGGCGCCGAGAATTCCGAGGGGGCACGCCTTCCCTGCGCGGTGTCTCGGGACAGCTTGCAGCGGACAATAAATAAATGACTGCAAACCAGAGAGCGATTTTTGTTGGAGTTTGGGGCGAGGACAGGAGAGTGGAAAAGAAGGGGGTGTTCCTTGGGGGGGTGGGGGGGTGGGAACGGTTTACTACTTGTTTTTGTTTTTTTTTTCTTTTTTCTTTTCTTTTTTTTTTTGTTTTTTTTCTTTTTTTCTTCTTTTTCTTTTGCTTTCAGAACCTTTGGGAAAAAGGACTTTGGTTTCTCCGAGTGTCGTTTTCCTCGTTCAAGTCCTCCTCCTCCGGGGACGCGTTGAGAGTTGTCTATTCCGAGAGAGAGAGACACAAGCACCTGTGCGTTGACAAAATCAGTCCCTTTTGCGTGAGTCTCTGTCATCGGGGGTTTCAAGTCAACCGTGAAGTCCGTCTCGTCCCCCCTTCCTTCCCCCTCCCCCCGCAACCCCAAGAGTTTGGGTTCAGTTTTTGTCTTCTTGGAAACACAATGTACAAAAATAGAGCTTCTTCCTTCTGTGTCGTGTAAAAATATTCCTCTGACGCAGTCCTCGCGGCCGTGGGCGCGGCCGGGGGGCGGCCGCCTAGCCGGGGTGCGTGGGGCGGATCCGCCGGGACCGCTTGGTCACTGTGGTGTACTTGAAGGGCTTCTGCAGCTCCGCCTGCCCCTTGGGGTAGCGCTTCATGAAGTGCACGTCCTGCTGGTTCTCCCGGGTCTTGGGGCCCTTCCGCGGCCGCCCCTTCTTGGTGAAGCCCACGTACCAGCCCGAGTACTTGGCCGACATCAGGGCCGTGTAGTTGTTCTCCAGGACCTTCTCGATGAACACGCACTCCTTGCTGGTGCCGTCGGGCTGCAGGGGGAGAGAGGAGGGGCAGGTGAGAACGGCAGGGCGGGTGCGTGGGGCAGCGCAGGAGAGGGGAGGCCTCAAGCCAAGCGTTTGGCCTCAGCCACTTGGCTCCCTGGGTCTGTGAAGTGCCCGTGTGGCATTGGCCCTTGTTACAATTATGCAACAGACTCCCGTGGTCACCCAGAAATCCAGCCATCCCTCCCTCCCTCCCCTGCTCTCTGCCCCGCAGCCAGGGGCCCCCGCCCCCACGCTGTGAGAACGAGAAACCCTGACGTAGCCCACCAAACCATGGTTTCCCGGGACGGGGGCAGGGCTGGCCGTGTGGCATAGCCAGCCGTGCAGGCAGTGTTCCTCCAGACCCCTGTGTGAGCAACGGCCAAACACACAAGCTGGCGTCAACTCGGGGGACAAGCGAAGGCAGCCATTTGGCCGCCACGAGGGGAAATGCCGTCGGACAGCAAAGCCAGCACGGAGGCAGCCACGTCCGGAGGAAGGGAACGAGGGAAGCCACGCCCCGGCCGCCGCCGGGGGGCTCCCGGACCAGGCTGTGCCTGACGCTCGGTGACCCCGGCTGTGTGGGCCGGGGGGTACCCCTCCGAACCGGCTGAGACCGCGTCCCGGCGCCTGCCGGAAGGAGGGAGGAGTCCCGGCAGGAAACCTGACATGAAGTCAGTGCCTCGACGGCCCCTCCACGCCACTGTCCCCGTGGAAGACCAGTCACATCTAACGTGGACTGTGCTGCGGGTCCACCGTGGGTGGAAAGAGCCGCCCAGAACCAGAGCTTTGGCGGGGCCAGACTCCGGAGCCTGGGCCCTTGCTTCCGAGACTCGTGGCTCCCGAGCGGGAGGCCATGCGGGGCGGGCAGCACGAGAGTCGGACTCAGGAGCCCAGGCAGCCCGCAGGCTCCCTGGTGCGGCCTGAGGCCGGTTCACTCCACGCTGCCCCTCGGCTTCCTGGCCTCAGCACACAGGGCCCCCGTGTCACGGACAGACAGGGCGCGTGCTTCTGGGAGCCCGGCACACCGTAGGGCCCTGCTAGCTTATGGCTGCAGGCCATGGCGGTCTGACGGCCTGGCTGCCCTCCTCGGGCCCCGTCTGGACAGAAGGGGTGGGCGGCAGGCTCCGAGGCTCCACCCCGGACGGCCGAGGCGCTGCCGGGGGAGAGTGGGAAACGCACGGAGCTGGAAGGCCCGAATTAGCAGCCGGAGTTTCCAGCGAACATCTCCAAGCTCAGGCCGGGCCCACTCCTCGTTACGGACGGACACCGGGCCAAGTTGGAAGCCCAGCGGTCTGGCCGAGCGCGGAGACGGAGGTGCGAGTTCCAGCCTTTTGTTTGAAGTGGAAAACAGGCCGGGCTTCCAGGAACGTTCACCTTTGAGCGGAGGGCACGCCTGGGCGCCACAAAGTGCTGAACTTTGCAGAAAGGGACAGGCAGGGCAAGAAAACATTCTCCGGAGGGTGAGATCTTTCGAGGAGGAGGAGGCGGCGAGCAGGCAGGCAGGGGCGGGGAGACACACGCAGGACCCCGGAGACCGGAGGGTGGGCTGAGCAGGGCGGGGAGCCCGAGCATGTGTGCGAGGGGGTGAAGGGGGGGGGAAGATGGGAGTGGTCTCTGGGCTCGGAGTCCCCCGTGAATAATTCTGGAAGCCGCCTATCCAACCTGAGCCCAGGTCCCTTGGCCGGTCTCGATGGAACAGTCGGAGCACATGAACAAAAGCCACGCCACGCTGCTTCCCCACCCTAGAAAGCCTGCCTGGAAAAGGGCTTGAGTTCCTCACAGCTCAGTTCAGCGGCCGCCTCCTCCGGGGAGCCTTCCCTGACTGCCACCTTCCTCCCTGGGTGTTTCTGCCTCTTGCTTTGAGATTCCGTTCAAGCACCAAGCTGTATGGGATGCACATGCTCCCATCGTCTAGACCCGCCTTGGCACCCATTTCTCCTCCCACCCCCCACCCACAACAGAGCAATTCCCTGTCTGCCTGCCCATCAGCCCCAGAGCATCAGGAGGGCGGGGCTGCTGCTCGGCTATCCTCATGGCTCAGCACAGACCTTAACCCCAGACAGGGCCGCCCAGAGCTCCCGTGGCTGGATGGATGGAGTTCTGCTGGGGTAGAGATGGTGGGAGCGATGCCTCCTGGACCCCTTACTAACGTCCCCCAGATCGCCATGAGCTCGGAGAGGCCCCTCCTGGGCATGTGCCGGGAGGGGATGGAGCCGGCAGAGGTGCGGGGCGCTGTGCCTGGCCCACCTCTCCCTCCTCATCCGCTCAGCCACAGGCCAGATAGCTCCCCACCCATTATTCCATTGAATCCCCTTAACCCACCGAGTCAGACTCTATGTGGCAGGAGGAAACAGGTCAAAGAGCCAAAAGGGCTTCTCCCAGGTCATGGCACTTATAAATGGCAGCCTGGGCACTGCCATCAAAACACCTCCCCGCACAGTCCCAGCAGCACAAAGCAAGCTCTAGGGTGTGCAGGGCCTGGCACAGCGCCTGGCACAGGCCCTCACGCACGCCTGGGTTTGCTGAGAGGGTTGGGGAGCTGGGCTTTGGGCTAAAATTCTCAACACCCCCGAATGTGGGAGCCCCTGGGAGCAGCCATGGAGCCTGTGGCGGTCACCTGTTCCCCACGGGGAACTCAGACACGGACGGTAAGACGCCCACGGGGCCACACCTGGGCTGGCCTGGCCCCTGCTCCCGGTGACCTCTGTGACCCCGCTGCTGCCTGCCGAGGGTCAGAGACCCTGGTGGCTGGGTTCAGCCGGGCAGCGCTGGCTCGGACAAGGCACAGCGGCAGGACTCATGCCAGAGCCTCGGGGATCTGGAACTTGATCATCTCCCTCTCCGCCCCCCTGCCACCTCCAGCCTCCTGCCACCCAAACCAGAGTCCTGTGCCTCCCATCTGATGGGAAGACTGGATCCTGATGACATCATCTGGCCCCCAGATCCGGGCTTATGTGGAACCAGAACAACCCTCTGGATATTCTCAGTTACACGGGCAGAACTTTCCTCTTTTCGCTGAAGGTGGTGTGAGTTGGGTTTCAGCCACAACCAAAGCAATCTTCACGGGGATGTGCTGGTGGGCAGGGACCCTCCTCCCACCCCCTCCTCCCCCAGGCTGGGGCCCTAAGCTACCTCCAAAGAGTGAGCACACGGGAGGGGACAGACGAGGAAAAAACTCACCTTTTTTCCTCCTCTGTCTCCAGAGATGGGGGAAAGCCTAGCACATAACACACCATGCTCAACAACTATTTGTGGAATGAAAGGAAGCAGACTCCTGGGCCAGATGGATGTGGGGTGCAGAGGGAGGGGGGGGGGGGCGGGGACCGCCTGGGCAGGCAGGGGCTCGGGCACATGTCTGGTGCGAGGCAGCAGAGAGAGCAGCTGCAGCCAAGGCCTGTGTGAGGGGCTCAGTGATGTGCCCGGCTGACCCTCCGTGAACGCTGTCCTACGGAGCCACCGCCAAGGAGCCGAGCCCAGGCAGCGGCCAAGGGCGCCCGCGGGGGAAGGGGTGACTGGGTGGAAGGGAACTGACATGTAATAAGTCAGCGCCTCTCCGTGCCGGCATCGTCCTTCCCACTCCGCAGGTGCGGGCACTGAGGCTCAGCGAGGCCCGGGTGCATGGACTCCCTGGCCAGACGTGGGTGAGTCTGGCTTCAGGGCAAGAGAGAATCCTCAGAAAGCAGTGACCACATTTCCATGTCTCTGGTGCCCTTGCAGAATGGATCCCAGAGGGGAGGATCCCGAACGGGCCCACGGCAGAGGTAGGCCTGGGGTCACCCCCAGGCGGGCAGATAAGCAACAGAGGGCTGGGGGGGTGCAGGGGGGAGGGCCTGTGGGCTCCCATTCGGGTGACTGAGGGGTCAGCGAAGCTAGAGGCTGCTGCGGATGAGCGAGGACCCAGGGCAGAGGGCAGGGCAGAGGGAAGAGGGCAGAGGGCAGAGGGAAAAGCAGCCCCAGGAGAGGGGACTGCGTGTACCGAGCCCGCAGGGGTGCAGGCTGGCAGAGCCCTGTCCGCAGCGTGTGCCTGAGGCCTGGGAGCCTCCCAGGGAGCACGGCTGCTCTCCAGCCGGCGGTGAGGACAGGGGACAGGTCCTGAACTGGGCTGGGCTGGGGGGCAGGGGACATTGACCCCTGGTGCTTCAGAAAGCTGAGGGGGCCGTGGGGACAGGCCTGGCGCTGCAGCCTGAGCGGGGACCCGGGGAGAGCTGGGCGATGACCCGTGAGGTCTGAGGCCGGGCCAGGGGTGGGCTAGGAAAGGGGGGGTGCAGGCCTGAGGCCTGGCTGGAGGGGGGGCCTGACAGCAGCACAGCCCGGGCCCAGGGCTCCTCTGGAGGAGCCAGAGGGAGTGAGAGGCGCCTGTCTGAGCCGAGGCCATCAGGGGACCTGCCCCCGGCAAAGTGGGGACAGGTGGGTTTGGGGGCGCCCTTGGAGACCCCCAGGCCAACCCAGAAGACAGAAGCCTGGAAGGGGATGATGGGGGGGCCCCAGAGAGGGACAGGCCTCCTGGGCCGGCTGGGCTCGCCTCGCCTCCAGCTGAACCGCCCCCGGTATTAATGGCGGGAGAGGGAGAGGGGGTGGGAAACCGGAGCAGCTCCCGTGGAAGCGGTGACTCAGCGGCCAGCGGGCGAGGGCGGCGGGACGGCCCGAGGGGACGGGGCTGCTCTTTTGACCCCACGAGGGCCCTCCTGGGGTCAAGATGCCGGGAACCGCGCAGCCGGGAGGGAGGGGAGGAGGGAGGGGGCGCGGGCACTGGGCACAGCAGGCCGCCCGCACCCCTCCTTCCAGGAGGGAAAGAAGAAGGAGAGCCTCCGCCTGCCTGCGAGCAGGTCGGGCCTGGAGGCGGCCGTGGGGCGGGCGGAGGACAAAGCACCTGGCGTGGACAGCCGCCGCCTCCCCGGCCCCGGACCCCGGACACGTGGACAGTGAGTCACTGACTGAAGCCACTGGGTGTCCTGAGCCAATTCCTGCCACTCTGTCTGCCCTGGAGGAGCTGTCGCTGGTGCGGGCCGCCCGGCTGGAACCTTGGACTCCCTACAGGGCTCCGCATCCCGCCCAGCTCTAGCGAGGGGCCCGTGTGGCACCTGCGGGGCGGGGGGTGGCGGGACCCTTCGGGGGCACTTGCTCGGTGCCTGGCAGAAAGCAGGTGCTCAGTTAACGGCGCTGCTGGCACGGCCACTGTTAACAACAAGCACCAGGCCTGGCCCGGCCGCTTGGGTACGGTGACAGCAAGAGGGATGAGTTGGGAGACTCGGGAAATGAAGTCAAAACACATGGCTTAGGGCAGGGGTGGGCCAGAAGGAGTCCATGGAGGGGAGGGGAAGACACGTGTGATACTTTCAACAATAAAGGTTTTTCAAATAAGTAAATAAACGTGTGGCTTAGACAAGACGTGGGTGACCCCCAGCTGGGTGCAATGAATGTAAGTCATCAGCCGGGGCCCTGCCCACGAGCAGGGAACCCCATCCTCCCTGGCATCTGGGTCCACGATCCACCGCACCCCACTCCACCTGCAGGAGACGACCCTCCTCCCTCCCCCCTGTTACCCAAGCTGGGCACCGGGGTAAGGAGGGCCCAGAAAGCAGGGGACGCAGGCGTGACCCCACACTGAGGTCCTGCCAGCCCCAGCCCCAGCCCCAGCCCCCGCGGCACCCACAGGCAGCGAGAGCGTGCGCGGCGCCGGCCACCGAGACCTGCCTCCTCGGCGGAGGCTCAGCGGCCTGGCACGCGGGCCCGCCCGCCGCACCCCCACCCCGGCCCTAATTTGTTACATGCAGCTCCCTCGCCCGTTCCAACGTAATAAAATCTGCCTGAAACGCTAGAACCGTGAGCCCAGCGCTGATGCGGCGGCTGGGTTCCGGAGCCTGGCGACTGTTAACCATCGCTCAGCCCGGCCCTGCCCCAGACGGCAGGTACCGAGGGCGGCGGGGGGCCCAGAGCCCCCTCCAGGGGGGACGCACCCCTCTGAGCCAGCCAGAGCTCCCCATCCCCCGGAGCCATCAGGGCCCTGGTTCTCTCCGAAGCCACGGCCGTGGACCCTGTGTGAGGGGTGCAGAGAGGAGGGGCCAGGAGGGGTGGCCGTGGAGTCTCCCCCATCCTCCCCGGGCTGCTTCCCTCCCCTGTTCCGGCCCCAGCGCTGCCGGGGAGGACCCGCCCCCCTGCCCGGAGTTCCCGGCCGGCCGCCACTCACCTTGCCCACCAGCTTGCCCTTCCGGTTCATGCACAGGTAGAACTCCGTCTCCTTGCCCTTGATCCGGACTTGACTGCCGAAGGTGTCTGTCTCCACTAGGAGCTGGGCTTCGGGAGGCAGAAGCAGAAGAGAGAGACGCTTTTTTACCCGGGCACACGCGTGGCCTGAAGACTCGGCGGCAGGACCCCTGACCCTGTCCTGGTCCCCCACACACACCCCTGAACCCAGGCCTGGGAGAGGCCTCTGCAAGGACACCCTAGAGCAGGGTTTCCCAAAGTGTGGTACTCATACCCTCAGGGGCATGGGAAGAGTTTGAGGGGGACGGTGGGGGGGGGGGGGTCCGCGTTGCACCGGAGTTTGGTGGGGGTATGCACTGCACTGTGCTTAGCTGCGCCTAATTCTACGTTCTCATGAGTGCGAGAGGTACTCAGCATCACGAAGATTATAGAAGGGGCACACATATGGCAAAAGTTTGGGAAACACTGCCCTAGAGCATCCTCCAGGCAGAGAGAGGGAGCTGGTCCCCACCTGCTCCCCAACCCCCCACCCCTCCCCACCTCTCTGACTCCACTTGGGGCCCAGATGGCTCCAGCCAGTGGGGCGTTCTGCTCCGGCGGCCGAATACCAGGGTGTCTTCTCCCCTCACCACGCAGCTCCCCAGCCCCTCAGCCCCATTCCCCAGAGCAGGGCAGAGAGCTGTACAAACGACCCCGCACGTCAGAGGCAGCAGGCTCTGGGATAAGGGCACAGACAAATGCACGTGAGTTCTCACGGCACACACACGCTCCTGCACGCATTGTACACGCGTGCACATGCCCTGAACATGCCCTGCACACGCATGCACACATCCTCCCCTGGGGGATGTCAGAGGCTCCTTCCTCCAGGGAAGACATCCGGAAAACATGTCGGGGTCCCCTTCTGTCCCCGTGCCTTTGCCACTGAGGTGGGGGGAGGCCCGGGGAGGGAAGCCCTCTGCAGAACTCCCCTTTCCTCGGTCAAGGCCAGCACCTGACTCCCAGGAGCCCGGACGTCCCAATCAGGACCAGTGGCCCCCGGGCCTGGGTAGGAGACTGCACCCTAAACCACCCATGCTCCTCAGGGTGGGGGGTCTCCAGAACTGACCCTCCAAAGCCCTGAAGGCTCCCTGCCCCTGTGAGGCCTGCTATGTCCAGACCCCCCCTGGCCCTCGTGGGGTCTCGTGTGACGTGGGTAGGCCACGCACTCTCTCTGAGTGCTCTCTCCTCTCCAGTCCGAATCCCTGGCCGGCCGGCCGCCCCCTCCTTGCCTTCTCTGCCTGTGACCCTCCCATTCTCACCCTCCCATCTCTGACCCTGTGCTTCCTGGCACCTGCCCCTCCCTCAGCCACAAAATTTTAATTTCAGTGACAGGGGACTTGCTTCTCCATAACGAAAATCATAGCCCTCCATACGGCATCCTTGGAGCCACAAAGAGTGGACCTCGGTGGCCCTAAAATACACGAGGTATGATTTTAATTTAAAAAAAATTAAAAAATATATACCCTGGTGCCCTGCTGAGAAAATGAAAACCATCTGGAAAGCAGGATTTCCAATAATTAATCTAGCCCTCCTTTGACACCACTACTAATTAAAATAAAATACCCCACCTTTCCACAGGAAGAAAAAAAAAGAAGAATTTACATAAAATTTAAAGATCTAACAAGAATTTAGTAATCCTAGAAACAAGGGGGGGCACATTCTTCTCTCCACCCTCCCCCATCCCTAGTAAACACCGAGTCAACAGCACTCGCCGGCACAGAGGTAGGGGTCACAGGCCCTCGCTGCCCCCCAATTCCAACGCCCGTACCTCTCCCGGGGAGCTCGGTCCCTGGGACCCAGCCCCAAACGTGCCAGCAGCCCTGGGCGCGCTCTCTGCCTCCCTCCCGGCTCAGCCCACTGCGGACGGGCTGTGGGGCCAGGAGGGTCTGCGACCCAAGGAGGCAGCGTGTGCGTCAGGGAGGGTGAGCGCTCTGGAGAGCACAGGCCCGAGTCTAAACCCCTGGCCCAGGTGTATGACTCTGGGCCTCAGTTTCCACACCTGTAAAATGGGAGGAATCACCTCTGACCCTTAATAGCTACTAGGAGGACGACACAGAATGATGCTGCAAAGGGCCTGGCGCCTGTCCTCAGGGGGACCCGGGGCGGGCGGGGGGCACAGAAGTGTTTTCCCAAAAGAAGATATACACGCATTGTGAAAAGTCAGGGTGGCTGAAGCCGGTTTGGCTCAGTGGATAGAGCGTCGGCCTGCGGACTGAAAGGTCCCGGGTTCGATTCCGGTCAAGGGCATGTACCTTGCTTGCCGGCACATCCCCAGGAGGGAACGTGCAGGAGGCAGCTGATCCATGTTTCTCTCTCATCCATGTTTCTAAAATCTCTATCCCTCTCCCTTCCTCTCTGTAAAAATCAATAAAATATATGGTTTTTTTTAAAAGAAAAGAAAAGTCAGGTGGACCACAGCCTGCCTCCGTCCGACCTGAACTTCCTCTGCACCCTCGGTGGGGAGGAGGGGGGAGAGAGGGGGGGTCGCCGGCACCCCACACATCAGACAAGGCCTCCGGCTGGGACTTCTGGGGTCCGATTCCCTTTCCTGCTTGCACTCCGGGGCTGCGTGACTGCCACCCCTCCCTGCGGGCCTCCGTTTCCTTCCCTGTGCAAGGTGGGGCTCCACCCTACCCTGGCTCTCTTAGTGGGGGGGTGGGGGGTGGCTCTGGGACAGAGGCAGAGATTGGGGCCACAGGGCTGGGGCGCAGACAATCCTGAGCGGCTCCCCCGGGGGAGACAGACAGCTCCCGCTGCTGCCCCACCAGCCTGAGGACTTCTGTCCGCATGTGCAGTGGAGGGAGCTGGGCAGAGCAGACGTAACCCAGCAGGGAGGGCTGGCTCCAGGTCTGCCTGCCTCCGTCTGCGGGGCCTGAGCTCCAGGGGAGGACCCCAGCTCAGGGAGCCTAGCTCCCAGCACAGCCCTTCCCTCCACACACACACACCAGCCACAGCCCCCCAATCCCCAACCCCCAACCCCCAACAGCCCTAGCCTTTGCAGGAGCATCCGAAGGGCCTGGGACTGGGGCTGGACTGCCCCCACCCCCCACCCCCATCCCGAGAAGCCTGGCCGCCCCCACCCCAGTGTGGGAAGGGTCTGTGCCGGCTGCCGGGCCAAAGGAGCCAGAAGTCTGTTCTCCCCCAACCGCAGCAAGCCACGGACTGGCCGAGACTCCGCTGGGCGCATGACATAATGAGGAGGGAGCCGGGCCAGAATTATGTAAAGTCTTTGGGGAGTAATAGCAGCAGCAGTTCTCAGAAAGAGGGGGGGGGGGGGAGAGAGAGAGAGAAAGACCCCACCCACCCAGGCAGGTTTTCCCCAGAGCCTGCCGGTCTTCAGCATCCACACCCCTCCCTCCAAGCCCCGAGCCCGAGCCCCAAGGCCCGAGATGCAGCTGGACGAGACCCCTCCTCAGGGCCCGGTTCTGTTCCAGGCCCGCACCAGGCCAGGCGGGAGGAGGCGATGACATTATCTCACCACCCTCCACACCCCCGGCTGCCCCTCCAGGCTTCACAATTCAACAGCCGCCTCCCTCGGCCACTCCTGCCCCTCGCCACCTCCCCCTCCACCCCAGCCAGGGGGGTCCCTGCTGAAAGGCTCCCGGGGACTCTCCCACCCACTGAACACCCAGCCCCTTTACTGGAACCCACAGGGGTGCGTGACCTGGTGCCCACTGACACCCCAGCCCCTGCCCCTGCCCACAGCCCCCAGCCAGCCGGCCCCTTGCTGCCCCTCACGAACACGTCCAGCACACGAGGGCCCTGGGACCTCGGCCCTCGCTGTGCCCTCTCCTTGGGACTTATCTCCAGTGTCACCTCCTCAGAAAAGCCCCCTGGCCACTCCGTCCAATGTCTCACTAGCCTCCCATCCGGCACCACCATCCCCACTCCGCTGTCCTCAGAGCTCCTCCGTTGTCTTATCTGCTGCCTTCCTCTTGTCTGTCTCCCTCTTCACCGCAGGCGCGCGCCACGCGGACAATTACCCACTGCGATCGCCAGGCCTCCCCTTGTCCCGGCTGCCGGTAAACGGCCAACCCGTCAGGTGTACTGAGTGCACCCATTCCCTCGTGAGGGAGGTCTGGGTAACAGGAAGAGCATGAGATTCAGGCCGAAACCGGTTCGGCTCAGTGGATAGAGCGTCAGCCTGAGGACTGAAAGGTCCCAGGTTCGATTCCGGTCAAGGGCATGTACCTTGGTTGCGGGCACATCCCCGGTAGGGTGTGCAGGAGGCAGCTGATTCATGTTTCTCTCTCATCGATGTTTCTGACTCTCTGTCCCTCTCCCTTCCTATCTGTAAAAAATCAATAAAATATATTTTAAAAGAAAGAAGAAGAAGAAGGAGGAGGAGGAGGAGGAGGAGGAGGAGGAGGAGGAGGAGGAGGAGGCCATGAGCTTCAGGGAGGTGAAGGGATTTGCCCAAAGGGAGGTGAAGGGATTTTCCCTGGGAGCTGCTGTCCAGTTGCTGCCAGGGAAGGGGCAGCTGGCTGGCCCGGGCGGGAGGGAGGTGCCCCCCTGGGGCGGGGAGAAGCACATATTCCTGAAGAGGGAATCGTTAAAGCTAGAGGTCCACATGGGCTGGATCCCAAGGCCTCCAAGAGCAGGATCAGAACCACCTGGGCCTGGGAGGGGAGGGAAGCAGAGCCCGCCTGTCCCCCCCGCCTCCCTGCCGATCCACAAAGCCAACGTCACGCCGAGTGAGGGCCCTCAGCGATTCCCAGCGGGTCAGAGCAGATAGAGGCTCGACCCCACACTCCGATTCTACAGCCACTGCCCTTGGCCCCTCCGCTCCCCACCGGCGGGGTCTCTCTGGCCACTCCCTGGTCTCTGAGCTCCCACCCACCCACCCCCAGCCTCGGGGTGACCACTGCATATTCTGACTTGCTGTGTGACAATGGGAAACACCGTCTCTCTCTGGGCCAGGACGGAGTGACCTGCCAGGCCCTGGTCCGTTCAGCTTCTCCAGGAAGGGCCGGTAACTTACATTCACATAGCGCTTGGGAAGTGCTGGGCACTGTCCTAACAACCTGACCTGCATTGTCTCCCTGAATCCTCACAGCCATCTCAGGAGGCCAGAACTGTTATCATCATCCCCATTTTACAGGTCCGCAAACTGAGTCCCAAGGTCACACAGGGGCGGAGTTCAAACCCAGGCAGGACCCAAACCCAGGCTGGCTAACCCAGAGGTCTGGGTCTCCGCCTGTCTACCCAGCCCTCCCTGCTCCCCGACACCAGCCCCCTCCCTGGGGAAGGAGTGCGTGGACACAAAGGTGGGCGGCGGAGGTACTCGCCGTGACCTCACTGCCTCCGGGCAGAGGTCAAGGAGCAGAGAGGCCCACGGAGCCCAAGGTGAGGGCCCCTCCCTCCCAGCTCCCCCTCCAAATGCCCTGGAGGGAGGAGGGGGTCCCCCGAGGGTCACCTTCAAGCTGATCCTGGAAGGCGGGGAGCCCTCAGCACACCCAAGGCTCAAACCCCAGCGAGAGGGGCAGGAATGGCCAGATCTGGTCAGGGGCGTGAGCACGGGAGAGGGGACCCCGAGACCAGGCCCCCGGGAGGAAACTCAGAGCCAGGCTCCGCAAAGAGCCGGAGCCAGCACCTGCCCGTGGCTGGGGGCCAGGAGCTCCCAGGCCTGCCGCGCCCAGAGGAAAGCAGAAAAGGGGAGAGAGTGGGAGAAAAAGGAACTGGCAAGAAAGCCCTTTCTACAAACACATGCTGTCTCTCCCCGCCCCCGCACCCCCCTCCCCACACCCCCTCATTGCTCCGCAGTGGATGGAGTAGCAGCTATTTAATTTGTTAAATAGCAGCGAGTACTTATGTAAGCACTCACCCTCCGCCGGGCACTGGGCCTGCAGTCTGACTGTGGACGGTCTCACTCGCTCCTCACCGCCCTAAGGGGTGGGCACCGTTATGCCCATTTTACAAACGAAAAAACTGAGGCACTGAGCGGTTCAGCTACTTGCCAGAGCCACACAGCAGGGCCGAAATTTGAACCCCGGCAGAGTACTCCCTCCAGAGCGGGCCTGGACTGACAGAGGCTGAGGCGGGCAGAGGGGGACAGAGGGGCGGCAGGCTTGTGACGGCCGGAGCAGAGGAGGGACAGGGACTGGGCGGGTGACTGGAATTCCCAGCGGGAATCTTCGGTGTGAACACTTTGGTTTGGAGGGGGAAGCAGAAGGACACGTACAGAGAGAGACACAGAAAAACAGGAGCTGGCGTGAGGGAGCCGGACTGGGTGGGTTTCTTCCCACCCCCACCCGCCAAGCCTCAGCGCGAACCCCAAGACCGGTGAGCACCCGGGGAGCCAGGAGCCAGGTGAGGCCGGGCCCGGGGCGGGGCGGCCGGCAGGAGCAGCTGGCCGCTCCCTCCCGATGCTGACAGGGCTGCTGGCCGCGCTCCAGGGGCCGTGCCGTCCTGCAGAGGAGCCGTCCTTGCCACAAAGGCACTGTGCGGGCCTGGGAACCAGAGCGCCCTTCTCCGCACCACAGGGGGCCGGCCGAGGGGAAGGGACGGGGACGGGGCAGGGGAGACGGCTTTCTCAAAGGGCCCACGGCTCTCCTCCACCCGGAGAGGCTGGTGGGCCACGTGGGCTCCCGGGAAGGACGCGGGGACAGATCGATAGGATCGATCGGGGGCTCTGTGTGAGGCTGGCTGGGAGGACCTACTGTGTGCTGAGCATTTGCCCTAGGGCCGTGGGCAGCGAACTGCGGCTGGAGAGCCACATGCGGCTCTTTGGCCCCTTGAGTGGGGCTCTTCCACAAAATACCACGGCCTATTTTGAAGAAATGGCGTTAGAAGACGTTTAAGTTTAAGCAATTTGGCCCTCAAAAGAAATTTCAAACGTGGAACTGTGGCTTGTTGGCTCCGCTAACTAATGAGCTTGCCGACCACTGCCCTAGGGGAGCCTGGCCCTCAGCACTCCCGGACGCACACGGGAGCCGCCCGGGCACTGGTCTGGGCATTCTCTGGGCACCTGTGCCTGGGGACACAGCCGCGGACCAAACAGACAGGAACCTGCCCTCAGTGAGCCTGCATCGTACCGGGAGGGGCAGAGAGCGAGCCCTGAGATGGAGGAGCCGGTTCTTGGACCATCGGGGTCCCCTGGCCGGGGACTGCTGGCTGCCCCTCCCCCACAGGTGGGGCCGGCCACATAAATCACCCTCTCGATGATATTTGTATTGATTATCCGGATTGGAAGCCTCAGTTGGCTCCATTGTCTCACTTCCTCTCCTGGGGCGCACAGATGGGGTCCAGTCCCCACACCTGCGTTTCTAATGCGCCGTTTAAACCGAGCCGCCTCCGTGCCCCGCGCTGCCCTGGGTGCTGGGGAGAGGGGGTGGGGGCGGGGAGAAGCACATATTCCTGAAGAGGGAATCGTTAAAGCTAGAGGTCCACATGGGCTGGATCCCAAGGCCTCCAAGAGCAGGATCAGAACCACCTGGGCCTGGGAGGGGAGGGAAGCAGAGCCCGCCCGTCCCTCCCCCTCCATCCACAAAGCCAACGTCACGCCGAGTGAGGGCCCTCAGCGATTCCCACGCAGGTCGCTGCTCTGGCCGCCCGGGGAGTCTCCAGAAGGGAAGCTGCGGCCCAGAGCAGGCAGAGGGCTTGCCTGGGGTCACACAGCAGGTGAGATCCCCCGGGGGCAGAGGACACGTGAGGGCCAGTCGCTTCTGGAGGGAAGGGCCCCCGATTGGCCCAGGCGCCTCTCCCTCCCAGGCCCTGCCTCCTGTCTCAGGGCGTGGACAGATGGTTCAGACCCAAGTCTGTCCCCCCTGTGCTCTCCCAGCCTGGAGGGGCCAGCCAGAGCTGGGGCACTCCCCGGGGGGGCACCTCCCTCCCGCCCGGGCCAGCCAGCTGCCCCTTCCCTGGCAGCAACTGGACAGCAGCTCCCAGGGAAAAGCGCCACCTGGGTCTGCGCGGCACAGCCGGACGTCCAGGAGGGGGGCACGGAGGGACGGAGGCCCCGCAGCGACGGCCGCCGAGGGCCGGGGAGAGGTGGGGACCAGGGAAGGAGGCAGAAAGGGCAGAGATGGTGGGGAGGGGCCAGGCAGAGAGGACCAGACACAAAGAGGGGGAAGGAGAAGGGCCCAGAAAGAGAGACACCTGGATGGGAGGAGCAGCCCGGCTGAGACAGGAAGGAGGGGAAGCGGGAGGACGGGCAGGGAGGCAGGGAAGAGTGATGGGCAGGGAGAGGCGGGGAGGCAGCTGGCCTGGAGAAGCCCAGCCAGGGTGGCCGGCCCTGCCCGCCCGGCCTGCCCAGCCCCCAGTGGCGGTGCAGCTGCCACACTAGGGCCTTACCACGAGGTCAGTCCTGCCCTGGGGCTGCGGGAAAATAAATGGTGTCCGAGATAAAAGGTCCGAGGAATTATTTGTCTTGTTGTCACGTCTTGACTGCAATGGGCAGGGGCCGGCGGGGCATCATCCCAGAAAAAAGCCGGAGCTGGCAGGCCCTCAGCTCACACACACACACACACACACACACACACACACGAGACTCGGCCCCGGCCACGGCCCCAGCCCCAGCCACAACCCCAGTCCCAGCCCAGCCCTAGCCCAGCCCTAGCCCCAGCCCCAGCCCCTGTCCCAGCCCCAACCCCAGCCCCAGCCTCAGCTACCCCAGCCCCAGCCCCAGCCCCCACTGCCTGGCCTGAGAAGGCAGGAACGGTGGGGCACGGTGGGGTATCTGCTCAGCATCTATCCCCAAACCCCCTCCAAGCTCTGGGAAGTTGGGTCCTGTCCGTTTCTCGCACTGAGGGTCTGTGGGCTGGGGGCTTGGGCAGAGAAAGGAGCCAGAGAAGGGTGTCTTTTCCTCCCAACCCCTCTGCAAAGGCAGGTGATGGTTCCCAAACAACGGATTCCAGGGTCAAGGCCAAGTTAAGAGGACGGTGGCCCGAGGCACTGTCCCCGTGTCTCCCAGGTACACACACACACACACACACACACACACACACACACACGATCTAGGCCATCACCAGCCACTGCTGGGCTTCACCAGCCAAGGCCCTTTTTGTTCGCCTCTCCATTAGCTCTCTCCACCAGGCTCTCGAGGAGGCACCACCATGTCCCCATTTCACAGATGAGGACTGGGGCCCCACAAGGCTCCGAGCCAGGGGCAAGGTTACGCAGCCCAGGCCAGGCCGAGCGGGACCTGAGCCTGAGGTCCCTGAGCCGAGGAAGCGGTGCCCGCCGGGCAGGAGGGGTGGGTACCTACCATACTTGTCGCCGTCCTCGCCGCGGGCGCTGATCCTGCGGCCCAGGACCTGGATGTGCTTCCCGCTGGTCCGGCTGTAGAGCTGGTACAGCCGCAGCTGCTTACGGCTCACATCGTCCCGAGCCCGCGTCTGGTTCTCCACGTGGATCCGGAAGTCCACGTTCTCCTCGGCCGCCAGCACCTGCGCGGGGACAGGGGTGGCGGTGAGACCCTCGGCCGTCCGGGTCCCCTGCATGCAGGGCCTCACACACTCCCAGCCGCCCCCCTGCCACCCCCATTTCCCAGGTGGCCATGCCAGGAAGCGGCAGAGATAAGAATCAGGCCTCAGCCGAAACCGGTTTGGCTCAGTGGATAGAGCGTCAGCCTAGGGACTGAAAGGTCCCGAGTTTGATTCCGATCAAGGGCATGTACCTTGGTTGCGGGCACATCCCCAGTAGGGGGTGTGCAGGAGGCAGCTGATCAACGATTCTCTCTCATTGATGTTTCTAACTCTCTATCCTGCTCTCTTCCTCTCTGTAGAAAATCAATAAAATATATATTTTTTTAAATGAGACCTCATATCCACAGGCAGCAAAATCTCAGACAAATGCCAAAAAAAACTTCTTCACTGATACTTCCCCTAGGGCAATGGAAGCTAAAGAGAAAAATAAACAAATGGGACTACATCAAAATAAAAAGCTTTTTTACAGCAAAGGAAACCATCAACAAAACAAGAAAGCCCTCTGTATGGGAGAACATATTTGCAAATGTTATCACTGATAAAGGTTTAATCTCCAACATCTACAGACAGCTTATACAACTTAATAAAAGGAAGATAAATGACCCAATTAAAAAGTGGGCAATGGATCTAAATAGAATCTTCTCAAAAGAAGACAGAAGGCCAAGAGGCACATGAAAACATGCTCAAAGTCACTAATTATTCAAGAAATGCAAATCAAAACAATAATGCGGTACCATCTCACACCTGTCAGAATGGCCAACATCAACAAATCAAAAAACGACAAGTGTTGGTGAGGTTGTAGGAAAAAAGGAACCCTCGTGCACTGCAAGTGGGAATGCAGACTGGTGCAACCACTGTGGAGAACAGTGTGGAGTTTCCTCGAAAAACTGAAAATGGAACTCCCATTTGATCCAGTGATCCCACTCCTAGGAATACATCCCAAGAAGCTAGAAACATCAATCAGAAAGGATATATGCACCCCTATGTTCATAGCAGCACAATTTACAATAGCTAGGATTTGGAAACAGCCTAGGTGCCCGTCAGCAGATGATTGGATCCAAAAACTATGGTACATCTACACAATGGAATACTATGCTGCCATAAAAAAGAAAAAATTCCCATCGTTTGCAGCAACCTGGATGGAATTGGAGAACATCATGCTGAGTGAAACAAGCCAGTCAATGAAAGAGAGACACCACATGACCTCACTTATTTATGGATGATAAAGAACATTATAAACTGAAGAACCAAAAGATAGATGTAGAGACAGTAAAGCAACAAGCAGACTGTCAAATTACAGCGGGGAGGTTGGGGAGATCTGAGGGAGATAAGAGATCAACCGAAGGACTTGTATACATGCATATAAGTACAACCAATGGACACAAAACTCTGGGGAGGGAGGGTATGTACGGGAGGGGGGGCATTGGTATATGTACAAAAATAATAATTTAATAAAAAAATATATATTTAAAAAAAAAAATGAGGTCTCAGTCCGTTGGAAGCTAAAGCTCACTGTCTTCCCACCACAGCCTCCCATCCGAGCAAGACGGGGAACGGGTTTCCTCTTTGACCTTGGGCACACAGTGTGCTTGGTCCCGGATTCCAGGGCCCCTGCCCAGGGGGCTGTGAGGAGATGGGGATGGGGGAGGGGTGGGGAGCACGGGACTGCGGTTGGGGTCCTTGGCGGGGAGGAGGGACCTGTCAAGTCTCTTCCCGGAAAGAACGGGCCAGAGCTCACGTCACTTCTCCCCAGAGCCTGATGCTAAGTGAGCCTGATGCCCTGAGGGTCCTCCCGCCCGCCCAGACCACCACGCATCTGCCCACATCCCGTCCTCTCCTGGAGAAGCCCTCGCTCTGCATGGCCATCAAAACGCCCCGCATCCCTGGAACGTCAGCGCAGGACTGACCACATCCTCCGCCAAGCTGCCTCTGGCTACGCCGACGCGTCCCCTCCGGTCTCCCTCCGGCAGCGCGGCCTCTCCCTGCACACCTCGCTCCCACATCCTCCCCGGCTCCTGCTCCCACCCTCGCCCCCGGGTTGTCTACCCTCCAGCAAACCCTCATGTGACCCTCCCTCCTGTGACTGATCCTCCCCGGACCCTCTCCGGGGCTTCCTGTCACATTGAGATGAAGTCACCACCCCGACTGCTCTCATCTCCTATCACCCCCTCCCCGCCGGTCCCAGGCGGCCAAGTCGTCCCTCGGAGCATGTCCCCCGGAGCGCAGCCTGCCCCAGGGCCTTTGCACTGGCTCCTCCGCCGCTGCCACGCCTTCCTCAGGTCTTCACCTCCCGGCCGCCCCGCTTCCTGTGGGCCTCTGCATCAATGTCACGTCCCGGCTGCTTGTCCGAGGCCAGACCCCACTCTGTCATTGTCCGTCTCTCCCCCGCGCTTTGTTTTTCTTCCTGACATTTATCAACCTGCCATAACATCTCTTTGTCTGGTTTTTGTCCGTCCTCCCTGACCAGGCTGGCAGCGCCGGGGAAGCCGAAATGCTCTCTTTGTCGCCCGCTGCCCTACCCCCGGCAGGCAGAGCACGGCAGACACGCAAGCATTGGTTGAGTGGATGAAAAGAGAAATGAACGAATGAACACTGAAAAGATCGAGAGTCCTGTCGTTCCATGTAACGTTAGATCGGGTTTCTGTATGGCCTGCTGATTGCATGCCTGCCCTGACTCATCCTTAACAGGCAAGCCGGACCATTTTAAAGTTCCAGTTTATTCCGTCGAGGCACACAGGACCTCCGCCCACTCAGCTCACGGCACAGCTCTCGGGACCCGCGCTGCAGCTGTCTCAGCCCTCAGCTGTGAGCGGCCAGGGTCAGGGACCGTGTTTCCCTCCTGGCTGCACCCCACACCCAGCCCGGGTGACCTGCACATCCTCCTCCACCCAAACAGGGACCCCCCCAGGCACTTCCGCTGGACCACACCATTGAACCTTCACTTCCATCCTCAGACTGGAAGGGTTAACCCACTTCACAGATGAGGAGACTGAGGCTCCGAAGCTGAACAGACAAGGTCACAGAGCAGGCAATGGCAGCCCAGACCTCGTGGCTCCAAAGCCCAGCTTCCAGCCTCTTGCTGACCCTAAGACAAGCCCTTCGGAGGCTCAGATACAATTCGCAAACACACTGCTGCCTTGGGTCGTCTAGACACCCCTGTGGCATGAGAATGCTTAACGTACCCATTTAACTGATGGAGAAACTGAGGCTCGGGAAAGGGAGGTCGACTGCTCTGGCTCACACAGCCCGGCAACGTGGCGCCTGGCCGCTGGCCCACGGAGCATGCACACCCTTCACTCCACCCCCTCGGCAGCTCCCCGCCCCCCGCCCCCACTCCCAGCCAGGACCCCATCATGTCCCACCCTGATGCTCAGGGAGGGAGGCCCCGCGGTGGGCATGTGTCCTGAAGACCTCCCACCCAGGGCCTCCACCTTCCCGAGGCCGCTGGCCCCATCCGCGCCCCCTGGGGCCAGCCCAGGCCTCCCTCCCTGTCCTCCAAGCCTCCTCCTGCTCACGGAGACCTTATCGACCAGAGGTCAAACCAATCTCCTCCTCCGGGCCCAAGGGGAGCCACCCTGCCCGGAGCTGGCCTCCCACTACCGATTCTCCCCCCGCGCGCTGGACGGCGAGGGCGGCGACCCGGGGTCAGCCCGCGCTAGCCGGTGGCCCTTCCCCAGGATGTGGGAGGGATCAGCCATCTTGCCCAGCTTCACCACTCACGCCCCGCTCTGTGGCCCCATCCATCCCTCAGGAGGCAGGGGGGTGGCCTCTGATCCGGAAACGGTCCTCCTCCAGGAGGCCCCTGAGCTTCTGGGGGAGAGCTCGGGGGGCTCCAGGCCTTTGGGGGGGGGGTGCGGCCTCTGCCCAGGGCACCCTGCCCTCTCCTGACACCCCCCTCAGGTGCCTCCACCCAAAGCCGCTCCGCCCGCCCTCCCTGGCCCGGCTGGGGCCTCCGGATGGCACTGCGATGGCTTCTTGTCCCGGTGCCCAGCCGGACCACTGGCTCCGCCCTGGAGGCACCCCGCAAATATATGCTCAGCGGCTGTGGCTGGGACAGGGAAGCCTGGGGCAGACCCGCCCCCCCCCCCCGCTCACCCCCAGACAAGCAGGGGGCCCACGCAGGGGCCACAGGGCTGAGCACGGCCCGCGGCCAGTTTCCGTGACGCAGGCACTCTGCTCAGGAGCCTGCAGACCTGGGACCTCCTGGTCCCCGCAGCCACCACGGAGGTGGCACGGGAGAGCCCCCTGCACAGGCCGGACCTCGGGCAGCTGAGCAACAGGCCTGCCCGCGGGGCGCACGCAAAGCAGCGACTCAGGAACACCTCCCGCCGCCTCTGCTCCGGCGGGGGGCAGTCCCCTGGCCCCGGGCCTCTGCTCCGGCGGGGGGCAGTCCCCTGGCCCCGGGCCTCTGCTCCGGCGGGGGGCAGGCCCCTGGCCCCGGGCCTCTGCTCCGGCGGGGGGCAGGCCCCTGGCCCCGGGCCTCGGCGCCGTCTCCCCGCCTTCTCGAACCCTCAGGCTGCTCTCTGCCGGGACTCCCTCCAGGTGGACAGTCCTCAGGGCGTTTACTACTGACTCCCCGACCTGCCCAGGGCCGCCAGAGCAGCTGTCCCCCAGCCCTGCCCCAGGCTCCGCAGGGACCGGGTGCCAGTGGGCCTGGGCTATACTCCCCCCAGCCTCACCTGGCCGCCAGCCCCCACCGCACAGGCACACAGGCCGCTGCTTCCCTGCTCCGAGCTCCGCCCCCCGGCCCGAACACCCGCAGGTGTGTGCCCGGGTGGGCACAATCTGCCATCCAGCCGCTCCCACCTCCCACGCTCCTCCCGAGCCTCCCTCTGAGCCTCCTGGCGGGGGAGGGGGGTCCCTATGGGATAAAAAGAGGCTGGTGAGCCCCTCGCCCAGTGCAGCTCCCAGACCTCAACCCAGTCCTTCCCCACCGCTCCCACCAGGACAGCAGCCGCCAC